TTTTTATGTATTTTTATCCAGCCGGCTACTGGCAAATTTTCTTTCCTCAGTTCCATGTGTACTTTGAATGTGTGTGATTGTGGCTTCGCATCACTTCTCATGAGTGATGTCAAAACCACTCAGGTTGCTTTCTATATCGAAGTTCAGTCATTCTAAGATATAATTCTACACTGAGGTGTATGTACGAGTCTTTTACAAATCGAAATGCTTTTACGTATTTTTGGTCCCATTTCCCATGTGTACTGTACGGCGAAGGCCTAGTTACACACACATACACACACAAACACACACACACACACACACACACACACACACACACATATTTATATATATATATACATATATACATATATACATATATATATATATATATATATATATATATATATATATATATATATATGTATATATGTATATGTACATATTTATATGCATATATATATGTAAACATTTATATATACATATATATATATATATATATATATATATATATATATATATATATATATATATACATATATATATATATACATGTATACACACACACACACACACACACACACACACATATATATATATGTATATATATATATATATATATATATATATATATATATATATATATATATATAATCTAGATACACTCAAGCAGGCGCGTACACACATGTACTGTGTGTATGTGTGTATGTATGGATGTATTTTTTTTCTTCTTTTTCTTCTTCTTCTTTTTCTTTCTTTTCTTCTTTTCTTTTCTTTTTCTTTTTCTTTTTTCTTTTTTTTCTTACGGCCATTCATTCTCAATTCAATATTGAGAGGTTATATGGCAGTGTCACCCTTGCCTGGTTGGATGCCCTTCCTAATCAACCGCATTTCGGCGCGTTAACACTTGTGCCACGGCGGTGACTTCCCCTACCACACCTGCGTTTGACTTTTCAAGGCGACAAGTTTTCTCGGAAACACCTCAAGTCATCCGGGGAAAACAGCTCAATTCCCCCTTCAGCTGAGGAATCTAAGGAAATATACTATCACTCTAAGCATAAGGAATATATCTTCTGGTGAAATGTTGTTTTGTGGTTTTTGCAATTGGGTGTTTATGCAGCAGGTTTCAGATTACAAAAGATTAGTTTTTATATGCATAATATATCAAAGATGTCTGCAAACAGGTGAGTATATTTAGAACATTACGTGACGAACAGACAATGAAGGACAGCGGGAAAAAATCGAAGTGAAAGTAAGAATAACAAATTAAAATTAAACGTACAATTTCATCAGTTGTAACACCATCACCATTGATCAGTGTCACTTAAATGGTAGATAACTAATACAGTAACTTATTAGCACATATAACTTTGTAAAGTACGCCTAAGACCCACGATGACCGAGTAGCCTATTCCTTTTTCTTGAATCGCGTCAGCATCAGTTGATTATTGAATATTTCACGCACAATAGCTACAGCATATGCTTATTTCATCATCATCACGATGATCATAATGATGGTAATTGTAATGATGATGATAAAACTAATATAATAACAACAATACTACTACTAAAAATAACAACGATGACCACACTGATAATCATAGTGATAAGGATAACTATGATAATAGTAATGGCAATTATACTTACATACAATAATACTAGTAGTGGCAATAACAATTATTATGGCAACTATTAGGGTTATAGCATTATGGCATTATATATCATATTTTTAAATGCACTGGCTGTGTGAAATATAATAGATTGCCATCCTACATGTGTGACCTTTGACCTGGAACATTTATATAGAACTGCTTGTTATCTTTCAGAATTGTATACAAAGCAGACCTTTGTTTCTACTGTCAAGCGTCACGTGTTCTGAGCTTAGGATATGTGTATGAGCGAACAGGCCCTGGTCCCCTGAGTCTGCGAAGGATTAGCGAGGTAAGCGTCAGCGCGTCCGAGGTCACTTTAAGCGAGTCATCCTGCTTATCCACTTAATCTGTTAATCAGCTTCGTAAGTTTACTGTAGCTTCATTTCGTGGTTACCTCAGATTAGTCTGAACGTGTGGTATACCTTCTGGGGAAATGAAAAACATCATCTTATCGTGAATAATCTGTATAAAATTTATAATTAGGTAAACCCTGAGTGTTTTCATTTCTACTTTGCAACTTAGCAGAGTAAAAATCGCGATTTTTAATATAGGCACAAAGTTTTCAGACATCAAGATGAAGGTTGCTGTAGCGTTATGTTTCGCCGCCTCTTTGGCTGTTGCTGCTGCCCTGCCTCCCCCCGGTGGTTCCCGTGCCCCCGGGAGAGTCCTAAGCATTCTTTTTATTTTCTTATGGAATTGATTAATTGGTTGATTAAAAAGTCAATCATAATTTGGTTTTACTAGCACATTATCTCCACTTGATCGTGCATATACTAATTCCATGGACATTGTCTTTCCCTTGAAGCAGCGGCAGGAGCCTTCGTCCCCTCCCCGGCCATGGTCCAGTCCTTCGTCCCGACGCCCGAGGAGATCAACGCCCTCAACGCCCCCCACACCACCCCCGCTCCGGGAGCTGCCCCCACCTCTTTAGTAGCCTCAAGAGGTCCTACGGCGCCACCAGGTAAGTAAATCCTTAACCTTCCTATTACTTGATTCCTATTATTTGCGAGGAAGCTACTTTAGACAACATTCACAACAAGAAGAGAACCTTATATAGTCCAGTGCAATACACTATGTGAAATAGGATAATAGATTACCATCTTATATTTGTATGTGAACATTTGTACAGAATTTTTGGTTACCTTTCAGAATCCTCAGTCTACGGACCAGACGTGTGTGTCAACTGTCAACCATCACGTGACACCAGCCTGGGCATATATATATGAGCGAACACCTTTGGGCCCTGAGTCTGCGCGGGATCAGGAGGTAAGCGCAGCGTGTCACCCTGCTCGCCAGTTTAATCTCTTGCTCAGCTTCTTAAGGTTAATGTAACTCCAGTTGGTGATCAGTTTAAATTGAACTCAGATAAAATAATAGCATTTTCGGTGAAAAGAGAAGCATCAATTTTTGACATACTATTTAAGAAGGTTTGAGTACAAGCTAAGGTCTTAAGGTAAAACCTGAGTGTTTTCTTTCTTCAGACATCAAGATGAAGGTTGCTGTAGTGTTGTGTTTCGCCGCCTCTTTGGCTGTTGCTGCTGCCCTGCCTCCCCCCGGTGGTTCCCGTGCCCCCGGGAGAGTCCTAAGCATTCTTTTTATTTTCTTATGGAATTGATTAATTGGTTGATTAAAAAGTCAATCATAATTTGGTTTTACTAGCACATTATCTCCACTTGATCGTGCATATACTAATTCCATGGACATTGTCTTTCCCTTGAAGCAGCGGCAGGAGCCTTCGTCCCCTCCCCGGCCATGGTCCAGTCCTTCGTCCCGACGCCCGAGGAGATCAACGCCCTCAACGCCCCCCACACCACCCCCGCTCCGGGAGCTGCCCCCACCTCTTTAGTAGCCTCAAGAGGTCCTACGGCGCCACCAGGTAAGTAAATCCTTAACCTTCCTATTACTTGATTCCTATTATTTGCGAGGAAGCTACTTTAGACAACATTCACAACAAGAAGAGAACCTTATCCAAAACCTCATAACAGTCTTATACAACTTCACATTATTTCTTAGGGATACTTACCCTGGTAATGTTCATATCAAAATACAAAGTTCTCTTAATTCATGAAATATTTCCAAAACGAAGGGTCGTCAGGAGTGTATCGCAAGTTATGCAATAAATATCATCTGTCTATGAATACCATGAAGATATTAAAATAAAATTGGAAATACAGTATCGTTAGAAAACATGCACATACTGTACATATAGAACATATTCTATATACGTATTTATTTTAAGGATATGAAGAACAAACATGCAAAACATACAAATGTATATATTTCATCAAAGAAGCTTTCACTGTTCCAGCCAACTTGGTGAAGAAGTACCGGGCCGCCGCTGCTGCCTTCATGCCCTGGGGACCCTGTTCCGAATCTGGAACATTGGCTCGAGAAACGGCAATATGCTGGGCACTTTCATTACGTTAGATAATAGTATGTTAGTCATATCAATAAAGTCACATTGCGTTGAATACCAGTATTATGTATGTTAGACAAATCAGTAAAGTTATATGAATTCAAGTTTAGTTTGATCATTCCTTGTTATTTATGAAGTATGACCATATGCATGAAAATAACTTCACGCGTACAGATATATGCACAAATGTGTCGAAATTATAAAAATAGTTTGTTTGCTTTTGCAAGGAAAAAATAGGCTTTCTTTTTCATAATGGGAAAAAAGAGCACCTTTCTTTTCCAAGGGAAAAAAACAATTTTCTTTTCCATCGAGGTAAAAAAAAGTATTTGTTTTTTATCAAGGGAAAAAGAGCCATCTTCGTATTCATCGAGAATAAATTCGAATAATGTTTAGGTTATCGAAAACATATTTGCTTAGAATAGGAATATGGTCGAAAGGAAATTAAGAACAACATTCCGAATTTAACATGTGGAATTTTATCGACTGTAAAACGGTTATCATCGATCAATGTCGCTTAATTTAGCAAATGACCAATACAGTAACCTATTGGTAATCATATCTATATTTCGCATCAGTGAAAGTTTATCGTTGAATGTTTCACGCATAACAATTGCAACAGGTACTTATTTCATCATCAAGACGACCACGATGATCACAACGATTAATCATAATCATGATCATTCATATAAATATGATAATGGTACTGATACTGATGACAATATTGATAATATCATAATAATTAATAATAATAGTCCAGTGCAATACACTATGTGAAATAGGATAATAGATTACCATCTTATATTTGTATGTGAACATTTGTACAGAATTGTTGGTTACCTTTCAGAATCCTCAGTCTGCGGACCAGACGTGTGTGTCAACTGTCAACCATCACGTGACACCAGCCTGGGCATATATATATGAGCGAACACCTTTGGGCCCTGAGTCTGCGCGGG